TTTCAATGGCCTATTCTTTAAGACTGACTGACTGGATACAAGCCTTAGTTAGCTGAACTCTGTCCCTTTCGTTACCATGCTTTTGATGCTGAATACAAGCCGCAGGGTCTGTGCCAGAGTTGGGCTTGGACGCGGGGCTTCCAGGCCGGCCTCCTTGAGCCTTCACTCTGACCAAACCCGGGGGCCGTTTCGAGTGCTGCGTAAGACTGAATGAGCCGGCATCTGACCCGGCCTTCTGCAGGCAGCCCTAGGTGGGAGCAGACCGGAGCTGCCCCTGGCTGTGGCCAGCAAGCAAGCCAAGCAGGGGGGTGGCCGGGGGTGTCGTGTGGCCTGTTGGCCTTGAGCTTCCTTGCAGTTGAGTGCCCAGCTCAGCTCTTGTCTCTCTGACCCCTCTGCACTCCTGCCCCTGTTGAGACCCCACAGCCGGCTTTCTGGGCCCGGCTGACACGGCTGCCTGGCTTTCCCCTGCCCTGTGGTCACTGCAGGCACCCCTGCCCCATTCGCAAGTGTGGCATGTGGGGCCAGGGATGCAGAAACATGGCGGCTGCGTGCCCGTGGGGCGGCCAAAGCCGTGGGGCTCTAGGTGGAAGAGGGGTGGGGGGTGCGAGCCATTGCATGGCTCCTTCCCATCGGACCGGGTGGGTTGACGTTGTTGCCCCCTTGAAAGGTGGGGAGTTGTTTGGATAAGCGGGGGCACCAACTTAGGTCCTTTCACTCCCATCTGCTGAGCTGCCTCAGCTTCCTTTGCTGTTCCTTTCTAATTAGACAGCTTTCTGTTAACTTATGCCTAAACTGTTGGCTTGTTTGGACTAGGGGAGATTTTCCACATATGAAGCAAGTCTCTTCCGCCGATCCCTCCTTGCCGCCCTCGGTGCTCACCCTGGCATGACCATCACAGCTGAATTTGCTCAGGCCCTTCTGGACATAAAGGAAAATTTGGCCCGGCCAGCCTGAATTTCCAGAAAGTGGCTGTTGATTAAGCATGCTTGGACTTCAGCCCTGCCTCCTAATCCCCATCTAAAAAACCGATGGCATTTCTCAAACCCCAGATATTCTCGGATTGGTGTAACTTAGGCCAATGGTTAATTATTTTGTAAACGTTTTTGCTTGCTTTATTCGGGTTTTCACATTAATTGACTCGCTTGCCAAAAATGGGAGTTTCTGAGGGTCCTGGAAACACGGTGTTGAGAAGTGGTGAGAGACGTCTCGCCTGGCCACGTTTTCCATCTAGGACACCCTTTTGAAAGCCACTGTTTGATCTACGTAATCCAGAGCAGCTGTCCTGGATCGCATGGCTTCCAGATGCCTCCCAGATTTCCTGCTCATCAGCCATGCTGGCTGGGCATGATGGGAGCTGAAATCCAAAATGTCCAGAGTTGAGAAGGCTGGTCACAAAGGTGCAGACACCCAGGCGTTGCGAGTCTCCTCACAATCAGGGACCAGAAGCCAAAAATGCAGCTTTTTGGCTCGTTTTCACTCTGATCAGACCCGGAACCCCAAACACGAATTGGGGCCTTCCAGGGATGGGGGAGGCTCTGCCCCTTTCCCACTTGGCAGGGGCCTGATGCTGGTCAGGGAGCGATGGCCGCAATTTCTGTAGCCAGAGCGTGGTTCATTTGCTTAATGGCTCTCCGTCTTGCGGTAGGAATCACAGGTGTGTGGCTCTCGCCAGTCCAGCTGGGTCCCAAAGAAACTGGGAAAGGGTTAAAGCGCCCCTCTGCTGGGGCTCCAGCCCTGACTGGGAACCCGGTGTCTACTCCAGAATAAACACGGAAGGCATGAGAATGGAGCTGGCTTCTAGTTAATATCTGCTTTGCCCCAGAGGAAAGGAGGGGCAGGTTGCTTCGTCCATCCTGGTAGGAACCAGGGGCCGCATCCTGCAATGAGGCCAGGAGTCTGCCTTTCCAGGATGGCCACTGGAAGGGATGGAACAGGCTTCTAGCCTCTGAATGGGCTGCCGGCTCCTGCAGCCGACTTGGGATGCTGGTATGCAGTTGTTTATAGCAGAAGCAAGATGGTCCCACCCTGAGCCGTTTGCAGTAAACATTTCGAGGGGGTGGAGGTGGGGAGCCGGCCGGGTGAGCTGTGGACGAGCGTGAGCATCTGCAGCTGCGTGGACGCCACGTTGGCTTGTGGCCGGGAGCAGGGACTCAAGCGGAAGGCATTTCCGGAAAGGTGAGTCAGCCCACAGAAAGAGGCCAAGCGGAGCCGAAGTGGTGGCGGTCGCCAGGAAAGGAGGCACCTAGAAAAGAAGCCCTCCAGGTGGTTGAGCAGCAAGCGGGGGGGCCGTGCCTCCTGCATCGCGTTCCCTCCCCACATGGGTCACCTTCGTGCTGCCATCCCAACCCGGCATCTTCCAGCTATTTTGGACTACAGTTCCCACCATTCCGGGTAATTGGCCAAATGGTGGAGGCTGAGAAGAGCTGAAGGCCAGCACAACTGGAGGGCACCTGTCGGGGGTTAAGAAAGCTGCCAGATTCCTCCTGCTTTTAAGCACTGTCTGAAAGATCTGAAAAAAAGTAGCTCATTCTCGCTGCAAAGAGGCAGGTTTGAGTTAAACCTGAGCTGGAACATCCAAATTATAAAAGCAACAGATCTTGGGCACCTGAAAGGCAAACAGGCGTATTACAAGTTAAGCTTCTGTGGATTAGTTCTACCATAAATCTGATAACCTTTAAAGCTGTAGGTGAGCTCCATATTGCTGGACTACAACCCCCATCCTCTCTGGCCACTGGGCTTGCTGCCTATCGCTGATGCGAGTTGTAGGCCAAAGCGTATGGGTGCTCCAACGCTCTGTTCTGGCTGCGAGCTGCTGATGGGCTTGGGGACTCCTTGGCACGTTCCTACAGGCAGGGTCCTTTTGGTTGAGAAAGATGTGGCTTAGGAAGGTCTCTTTTGTTGGAGGCGTTAATAACCAGGCGGAAGTCCTCACTCAGCCTAACTCAGCCCTGAGCTCCCTGCAGGGCAGCACCTCGGTGGAAGAGACAGCGCTCTTCAGACCCGGCATCTCCAGGTCACAACCAGTCCGCAGCATGCTGCAGTGCTGAGGGCTGCGACCTGTTGCATGTTTAGCCAGAGGGAAGTCCCAGTCCTCTGTGTCACGCCAGGAAGTCAACATCTTTTTCTCTGCAGTTTGCAGAAGTGCTGCAGAAAAGGCTGTTTTCTCGACGGCCACCATGGCATCCTTGTGAGTGGTGGCCAGCAGAGGTTGGATCACCCGGAAAGCTCCGGGTTCCCTGACGCTCCGGTCTTCTTTCAGATCCAGGAATGGAACGTCGAGGCTCAGCACCTCATGCCCCTGCAGCCTCCCCTCGTCCCCGAGCTGAGCCACATGCGGGAGGCCCAGCTGCACACGGCCGAGGCCTCGCTCTGGAGCGTGGTGGCCACCGTCCAGGCCATGGAGAGGAAGATCGACCTGCTGGCCACGCGGCTGCTCAGCCTCGAGGGCCGGTCCGGCACCGCCGAGAAGAAGCTGCTGGACTGTGAGAAGACGACCATGGAGTTCGGGAACCAGCTGGAGAGCAAGTGGGCCGTGCTGGGCACCCTGATCCAGGAGTACGGGCTGCTGCAGCGGCGGCTGGAGAACATGGAGAACCTGCTGAAGAACCGCAACTTCTGGGTGCTGCGGCTTCCGCCAGGCGCCAAGGGAGAGATCCCCAAGGTAGCCGTAAGAAGGGGGTGTGGCAGCGGGGGGCCGGGGCATGGGGCTCTGGGAAGGGGGAAGACTACGTCCGCAGACAGGGCTGATCCGGTGCCATCCCTTCCTCTGGGCAGGAGGAAGTAGCAGGAGGTACGATCAGCCGAGAGCCGGGGCGCAGGACCTCAGACCAGAGGGGCAAAAGCAGCCCTCCGGGGGCCCCCAAAGACCACGCCCCTTCCCCGTGCCCACCCCTTCCTCCAGCCACCAACCTTCGGCTGGCTTCTTGACTCGTGAGCTGTTTTGGCACCCAGTGGAAGGTTGAAATCTCTCCTAACGCCTAGTCACCCACTGGAAGAGCTGTAACAAGCGCTGGTGTTTGGGTAACAGAAGGGAGCGTGTTGAGCCAGCCTCCGTGGCCCTGCCCTCTGTGGCATGCCAGCCCCCGAGGGCGTTCGGAAATGGCACCTGACCCGTGGGCCGGAAGCGGGGCTGCACCACGGAATCCTAAAACGCTGCCTTCCAGCAGGTCCGACTGTCTCACCTGGAATCGCTGCCCTGCCTGGCAGCCGCCCCCAGAGAAGGGGGTTTCCCATCTCCTGGTTCTTGCAGATGCTGGGAATTGCAATGCCCCCCCCCGCCCCCACCGGTGTCTGAGGGCCTTTCTGTTTGCAGATGCCGGTGACGTTTGTCGACATAGCGGTGTATTTCTCCGCCGAGGAGTGGAAGAACTTGGCCGAATGGCAGAAGGACCTGTACAACAACCTGGTGAAAGAAAACTACGAGTCTTTGCTGAGCTTAGGTAGAAGGACTTCTATTTTTATGTTATTCATTGCACTCCTGTCAGTTTCCCTCTCTCAGGGACCTCACAACAACAACCCTGTGAGGTTGGCTGGGTTGAGAGTCTGATAGGCCCCAAGTCACCCAGCTGGCCCCATGGCTGAGCGGGGACTCGAACCCGGATCTTCCGAGCTCCGGTCCGGCACTCTCGGCCTCCGCCATCCTGCCTCTCATGAGTAGTGAGTGCTGAAGCAGTTCACAGATAGGAGCTTTGTCACAACAGCCCTGTGAGGTGGGCAGGCAGGCAGTCTGCATCCTGCTCTCACACACAGGTGCGCGAAAAGCAGCTTGCTTAATTTGTGGCAGAAGCAAGACCTGCACTGAGGATCCCCAAAATCACATCTTGTGGCTGTTTTCCTTCAGTTCTGCAGTTCCAGAGCAGTTTAATTTATGCCTGAGCAGAGCTTTTGATTTTGGCCCGGGCCAGGAGGGGGACCTCAAGACCTGTGGCCCAGCTGGGCTCCTCTGGGGTCCCACATCTGCCCACTGGAGGTTCCCAGATCGCTGTGTTCCCTTCCCGTTCCAGAAGGTTGAGCAGCTCACGGGTACGGGGGCATTTTGCTCCTGCCCAACACGGGAGCCTCCCCGTGGAAAGCTCCCCAGGATCGAACTGGGCCTTCAGGCTGGCCGAGTTTCGCACCGGTGGGCAAGCAGAAGGGGGGGCGGATAAACTGCAGGCTGTTGCAGAGCGAGCCCCACTGCGGCTCCAAGCCCCATGGAATGGCCACTCGGGTGCCTGGGGATGCGTGGGCCCCCTTTTGCAGAGAGGGGCTCGGCTTTCGCCCGTTTCTGAAGGCCCCTTCGGTCGCGCCGGCTCCCCGGTTCTGCAGGCGGGATGCCGGCTCGGCTGGAGGCGCCCGGCCTTCCAGCGCCTCCCATCCTCTCCCAGCAGGAGGGGGGCCTTTGGGGTGCGCGAGGAGACCTCGACGGGAGGCACCGGGGCGGTGCGGGGGGGCGGAAGGCAGCGGGAGGGCAGCCGCCTGCCCCAGGCCCTCACGCCCCTCCCTGGGTGCCCCCCCCAGGCGCAGAGGTGAACCTTTCCAAGCCGGAGGCCCACCCCAGGATCGAGCGGGGAGCCGAGCCGTGCCTGGCCGAGCAGGAGAGCGCCAAGGAGCGGGAGATCGCCGCGGATCCCTGCGCAGGTGAGGAAGGCTGTCCGGGGCGGGGAGGGGGCGGCGAAGCCCCTCCGGGGAGCTGCGGCATGGGGCAGGCATCCCTGTGTGGAGGGCGCTCCTTCCTGACGGCTGTTAATGGGGTGGGGAACTGCCTTCGGCGTCGTCTTCTCTGCTCGCAGATGGGGGTCCCAAGGAGGGCCGGGTCTGCCGTGCCCCAAGCCAGTGCCCAAGGGGGACCCTCCGAAATGGCCCTCGCGGTTCTTTTCGGGTGCCTGCGCGGCTGTCAACGCCCTTTGGATGAGCGGCCGGCCAGCCTCTCTTTGTCTCTCGAGGAAAAAGCAAACCGCGTCCCTCTCTCCGCCCGGAATCGCTTCCCGTGCTCCAGATCAGGGGCACAGTTGGTCACGAGCGGAAGATGAGAGTCGGGAAGGGAAACGAGCCGGCACAAGCCTGAGTAGCCGCTGCAGGTGCCACAGGGCAGTAGTCCTCTAAAAGCTCTCAAAGGCCACCAAATGAAGCCCGCCGTTGTTAGCCATGGTGGTGGGTAGAACCTCCACGTTCAGTGGCAGTGTACCTTTACACTAGGGACAAATAGAGAGAGCTTTTGTCTTCATGTCCAGCACTTGGCTACCCAAATTTTCCCAATGTTTTAAGGCCTGACTGTTTTAATTGGGCTTTTATTATTGCTAATTTTAGGACGCTACGTTTTAATCATTTTTCTCTTTTCTTATATTTTGTATTGTTAAACCATCCCAAGACTTCAGTAATGGGACGGTCTACAAATGCTTTAAATACATACATGCATAAAATTAATGCTGGAAACATGGCTAGCTGAACTCCAGATGGACATTTGGGTGTTCGGTCTGGTCCAACGAGGTAATCTTTACGTCTGTAAGTCAGGTCTAGAGAGGTAGGAGGCTCTAGCAGTTCTGCTGAGGACTGGAAACTTGAATTTGAGGAGCAGTATGACAGTGAGCCGGGATGGATGTGATCAGAATGGGGGGAGAAAAGTCTTGGCATTGCAGCTTTGACCGCGCCGTGTGCCTTCGGAACGGAGATTTGGCCCCTGCCCTTCCGGAAGAGTCGCAATGAGGGCGGGGGGGGGGGCTTGCCTTCTGCTTCAGCCGGTCTGAGCGCTCCTTTCCGATTGTCTCTCCCCAAAGCAGAGCCCTTGATGGCCACCCCCGACCTCTTGACCCGCATCAAGCAGGAGGAGCCTTTCGCTGGAGGAGGGCCGTTCCCGCAGGAGCGCGGAATCCCTCCCGACCCGTGTGCAGGTGACTTGTGCGACCGCGGGATCGTGCGACGCTCCGTGGGGAACCCCGTGCCCTTGGCTGGGGTGGTGTGCTTTCGCCGCTTGCGCTTTCCTCCATGTTGCGGCAGTTGGCATGGCTGTTTTTCTCGATGCGCTTTCATTTTCTAGGGAATGTCCTGCCAGGAGGTTCTCCGGGAGCTGCGGGGAAGCCCCGTTGACCCGGTGCAGGGAGCAGGGCTGGGAGGAGCGGAAGGGCCAGCCTGGAGGGTTTCAACCAGGCCGGGCTACCCAAGCTGCAGCTTTCGTCCGCCCTTACCCCGCAGCGCACAGCAGAGGGGCTGGAGGAGGGCCTCCCGAGGTCCCGATCCGGCTGGCGGAGATTCCCCCATGAGATTCCTCTTCCCCTGTGCCCCCACCACGGATGGGGTCCTGCTTCTTCCCTGAGATATTTGTCCCGTTCTGAAAGATGGAGAAGCCTGTCTTAAGGCTTTTCTTATGGGCCAAAGAACGTTCCGGAAAAGATGCAGCTGCTTTTGGTATTTTGACTCTGCCGGTTTTGCATTCAGCCCTGACCACGTCCCTGAGGCTGCATTTGGCCCTTGAGCTGGGCGCGGCCCCACACCTCTGGGATCCCATAGGATTATCTGGCTCCCTTCCCCCTTTTAACTTCGCAAGGGCCATGTGGGGTCAGTTATGGTTTGTCCGAGGTTTAGCCGGGAAGCCTTGGACTTGGCTCTCCCTGGACCAAGCGCTGCCGGCTCATGAAAACCAGGGGCAAGGTGGAGCAGGGCCTTCTCTGCAGTGGCTCCAACTTTGTGGAAAGCGTTCCCTAGTGACATCCTTCCAAACTCAAAGCAATTCGGGGTGTTCAGTGACCAGGCGAGGGAAGAGCCGCTGCTTTTAATGCTTGCCCTTTAGTCATAGAATAAACCAATCACCCAGCAATCGTTATTTATTTATGTATTTATTTATTAAAACATTTATATGCCGCCCCATTCGCCGAAGCCTCGGGGCGGCTTACAACATAATAAAAATTACAATAATAACAATATAAAATAAATAACAATATAAAATTATATATATATTATATATAAATATATGAGTATCGGTTTGTTGGTATGAGTAGAAGGCATATTTCTGTCCCAACTTTTTCCATTCAAGGCTCCCAAGGCAGCTTCTAGAATCCTTCCCTCTGTCTGGTCCTCACAACAACCCTGTGAGGTAAATTAAGCGGCGTGTGACTTGCCTGGAGCCACCCAGGGAATGTCGCGGCCAGGCAGGGGCCGCCGCCTGGCTCTCCGGAGCCCCTGCCCCTGGCCCTGACCGCCACTCCGGCTCCGCCACGCATTACGCACCGTGCCAGGCCTGTTTTGAAGTGCGGGAAACGCGTGCGCTCGGCTCCCGTGTCCTCGCTTGCTTTGCGGCCCCGTGGCGCCTGGCCACCCGGCGCACGGCCTCCCAGCCGGCTCGCCTATCGCTCGGTGTCCTCTCTCCACAGGTGCCGAGGTCCTCATGTCCGCCCACGACTTCTTGTCGTGGATCAAGCAAGAGGAGGAGCCGTGTGTGCGCGGACACTGGGAGTCGGCGGGGAGAGACATCCTCGCAGGCCCCGGCACAGGTGAGCCGCCGCACCCGCCCGGCTGGGGAGGGCCGGAAGAGTCTGGGCGCAGGCAGGATCCGGCCGGGCAGCGGGTGAGGCAGGGCCAGGGGCCAGCCGGCCGGCCGGCCAGGGAAGCCCGAGGCTCCCCGCTCTTGCCGGATCCGCTCTGACCGGCTCTCGGGCAGGGAGGGGCTTTCCTCCCCCCTTCGGGCGCGTCCTTGTTGCTCGGCCGGGGACGTTATTTTCTGTGCCACCCCAAGCCGACCTGCTCTGGGGGGCTCGTCCCATCCAGAAAAGGCCTGATCCTGCGATGAGTGAGAAGAGAGAGGGAAGCCTTTCTACGCACACGTGCTTGGCGCAGTGACGCGGACGGGGACGCCCTCACCCACGCACACGGAGGACCTGAGGCGCCCGTCCCGGGCTCCACCATCGGCCCAGGGACGGGGGCCTGATCCTGGTAGGGGCGAGGGCGGCCCTCGCCGCATTCTCGACCCACAGCTCAGAAACAGGCAGCGCGACGCACGACCCGTGTTCTTTGCAAAACCGCCTTTGGGCGGCACGTGGCAAACGGCCGCAGAGGTTCCCTGAGGAACCTCTGAGAGCATTTCTGCTCGCGAGACCCGGAGTTTGATGCCTGCTGCCTCTGAACCGGGATCAGTGAATCTCAGACGCACGGCGCTTGGTTGGGACGGGATGGGAGAGCAGGCCTAGGCCAACTCCTGCCTGAGGCTCCCTGGATTTCCTAAATAGTACTTTTAAAATAGTACTTCGGACATCTGTTGCCCCAGAAGCGATGGCATCTGCCAGACCAGCTTCCCTTCAGAGATTCTGCTCTGGGTACACCTGCTCCCTGAGGTTGGGTGTATCGAGGGTCTTGTTTGTCGTGGCACCCAAATTTCAGAGCTCCCTCTTGGGAGTGTTCCCCAGGCAGTACCTGTACCATCTTTCAGGTCCCTTTTGTTACTGCTTCTTTTACTGGTATTTGAGGAGCCCTTGAATTCCGTTCTTCCTGCTGTTTGATATGGTTTTGCTGGTGTTCGATATAGTTGCGTTTTAATTGGATTTTGCTACTTTTTCCTTTGGTGTAAAATTTCCTGGAATTTTGACCCCATTTTTTCCCCTGGAAAGTTTGAGGGGAAAAGGAGATGTTGAGAAAAATGGAAGAACTCGCTATTGGTAGTGCTCATGGATCTAAAGTGACTTGGTTAGTTTAGGAACAGAAACTGTTTCATGTATAACTTAGTTTGCTCGTAAAATTATCATTAAAACTAAAAACCGTTCCATGCAAACTCAACCGATGTGCAATTATTGTCTCAACAAGCTACAAATTACTTCCCTGTCTGCCCCCCCTCCCCCTTGAGATCCGAGGCAGAGGTCCTGCTTCAGGACCCCTCCTGGAAAGAGGGTGCCTGCCCAGGGGAGGGCCTTCTCGGTGGGGGCTCCCCAGTTGTGGAATTCACTCCCCAGAAAGGTTTGCCAGGTGCCAATGCTTTTTTCTTTCTGGCGCCAGGTGAAAACCTTTTTATTCTCCCATTATTTTCATTCTTAATCAGTCTTAATTGTGGTTTAATATTTATCTCTGGGTGCTGTACCCTTTTTTATCTTATTTTAATTGTGCTTGTTGTAAACCGTTCCAAGATGTCAGCAGTGGGACGGTATGTGAAAGCTGTAAAAGGCAGGAGAGGAATAAACCAGTTGGACCGCCCTAGAGGGGGCAGAGCTTCTCCACAGAGCTCCGTGGATCCCACCCTCGGCCCGCCGGCGGTTCCTGGGGTGGGCCTCTGGCCTGACGCCTCCTCCCTCTCTCTCGCCTCTGCAGCCGGGGACACCATGGCGGTCAAAGCGGAGGAGCAGCGCCCCTGCCCGGAGGAGCCAGCGAGGCCCAGGGAGGCGATGTTTCCGGGAGAGCCCCCGGCGGAGACCTACGCGGGCCCCTGCGGCTCGGCCCCGCGGCCCCTGAGCCCGGCCCGCAGCAGGCCCAGCAAGCCGCTGGAGCTGGAGCAGGAGCTGCAGGGCCTCTTCGCCCCGCAGGGGCCGGCTGAGCGGCCGCACGGCTGCAGCGAGTGCGGCAAGATGTTCGGCGTGAAGAAGAGCCTGAAGGTGCACCAGCGCAGCCACCACGGCCAGGAGCGCCCCTACGAGTGCGCCGAGTGCCGCAAGAGCTTCAACTGCCACTCGGGGCTGGTGCGGCACCAGATGACGCACCGCGGCGAGCGCCCCTACAAGTGTGAGGAGTGCGGCAAGTGCTACAGCCGCAAGGAGCACCTGCAGAACCACCAGCGGCTGCACACGGGCGAGCGGCCCTTCCAGTGCCCCGTCTGCGGCAAGCGCTTCATCCGCAAGCAGAACCTGCTCAAGCACCAGCGCATCCACACGGGCGAGCGCCCCTACCAGTGCGCCGAGTGCGGGCGCAGCTTCCGCTACAAGGAGTCGCTCAAGGACCACCTGCGGACTCACAGCGTGGAGCCCCCCGCCCCCCCGCGGCTCCTGCCCCCCCTGGGCGGGGACCCGCTCTCTTGACGGCTCCCCGGCTCCCTTCGGCTCCGGGCCCCGCCCGGCCCAGTCCTCCCTGCCCCGGGGGGCCGCCGCTGCAGCACTGCCCGGATGCCGGGGGCCGAGGGGCATCGAATCAGGACGTGACCTGAGCGGGAAGCCAAGTCAAAGCTGCCTCTTGGTGGCCGGGGGAGAGGACCGGAGCGGTTGCGGGCGTTCACCGGTGGGAGCGGCGATCGCTGGACTTGTGAGGAACACCGGGGACCTCACCATTTGGCATAAGACGGTTTCTGACCCTCCTGAGGTCAGAAGGCATTGGCAGCAGCCACACCTCGGAAGCCAAACTCCAACCCCCCCTGCGCACCCCCATGTATAAAATAATACTTTATTTTGCTTGGCAGCTTCCGAAGGAAAGACGCCGATTTCGGCAGGACATGCCTGCGTGGTCTTTGGGCAGCTTCACTCGGAACGGACCTTTGCTCAAGATGGCTTCTCTTTTGGCACATGCGCAAGTTAGAACTCGGCATCCTTTCCACCCTTCTTCCCCTGGGCTGTTGGCGCATGCTCCTCACTCACATTCCACGGGGTTTGTCTGAGCTGCGGGGCCTCTTGCTCTCTCTTCCCCCCACAGTGCCTGCTTCCGGTCCTGGCCTCCACATGTTCCCCATCTCACCTTCTCCTCATCTCCCCGTCCCAGCTCATCTCTGCATTTCTCCGCCTGTAGCAAATATATTTATTCATTCTCAGTGCCATGCCCTCTCTCCTGGTTCTTCCCACAACGCTGATATTATTTTAAAATTCCTTTTAGATCATCCAGATGCAGTCTAGCTCTGTTTTTTAAAAAAAAATAAAATGGAACAAAATGATTTTTTCCAGGTGTAGTTTTATATCAGAGGTGTAAATAAAAGAGGAAAAGGAGAAGGAAGCTGTGTTTCTAATCCATTGGTTCTGGAGCACGTTTTGGGGTGAAAACCCACAGAGTTTCACAGCTGTGCAAGACTGCACCCAGGTTCACCCTATCTGAGTTCGGTGTGTTTTTGATGTGCATCTGAGAAAATGCCTTTTTAAATGTACAGCTGAAACTACGACATGGCAGTGATGAGCGAGCATTGGCAAAGATGTGGATGAAACAGGTAAAACTTCTTAGAAACATAGAAACAGTACATCAGACGGTGTCTCCTGGGCCATCTAGTCTGACCCCCAGCTCCACTCATGACATGCCCACCATGTGCATGTCCAGCCTGTCCTTGGACACTCTCCCCAATGGGGCCGCCACCACCTCCCATGGAAGCCCATTCCACACCCTCGGGGTCCTGACTGTCAGGAAGTGCTTCCTGGCATCCAAATTTAACCTCAGTTCCCTGAGCTTTGCTCTGTTGGAGCGCATCCTGCCTTCCTCTGCAGGGGAGAACAGGTCTCTACCCACCTCCGTGTGACACCCCCTCACATACCTGTATGCCAGCAACAGAGCCCCTCCGAGTCTCCTCCAGGCTGAAGAGGCCCAGTTCCCTCAGTCTCGCCTCATACCCCATCATCCCCTGCAAACCGGCCACCAACCTTGTGGCCCTTCGCTGCACTGACTCCGACCTGGCTATATCCTTCCTGTAACGAGGGGTCCAGAACTGAGCACAATACTCCAGTTGCTGGTGCACCAGAGTCATATAGAGTGGTAGTAACACCTCTCTCGATGTAGAAGCCACACTTCTGGCTATGCAACCACGGGTGGCGTTCGCCCTCTTGACCACCGCATCACACTACCAACTCAGGTTTCGCCTGCAGTCAACCAGCACCCCGAGGTCCCTTTCACAAGTGCTGCTCTCCAGCCACTTGTCCCCCAACCTGTACTTATGACACCCATTCCTATGGCCCAAGCGCAAGGCCTTGCACTTCTCCACACTGAACGCCATCCTGTTGTCTCCCGCCCACTTCCACTGTCTGTCCAGATCCTTCTGGATCCGGAGCACCTGCTCCTCAGTTGTGGCCACTGCTCCCAACTTAGCATCATCTGTGAATTTCCCACCCCCTCCAGGTCACTGATGAAAGGATTGAACAGGATCGGTCTCAGGACAGAGCCCCGGGGGACCCCGCGTTCCGCTGGCTGCCGTCCCGATGATTCCCCTCTAAGAGGAGGAGCTGCTGTTGATCTTTGCTGACTGGGCAAGTAGCAGACCTGGGTTTGTGGGGGAGTTTGCTAGCAGCCCCCACCCCTCGGCCCCACCTCAGCCGCGGAGCCAGCCAAGCGCTGGTCGTTTGGGAACATCCGTGTGTGTGGAAGAACGTCAACCTCGTGTTGTCCCTGTAAGGCTGTCAAATTGTGTGTGACAACTGGACCTTTGTGTCAGAGCATCAGAACCCGCAATTCTGTGCCCACTTAGCTGCAAGTGATCAATCCACAGATCACTGCAATTAAACGACGCTTGCTCCTGGGGAGGAAAGCCATGGCAAATCTGGACAGCATACTAAAAAGCAGAGACATTGCTGCCGAGAAAAGTGCGTACAGTCAAGGCGACGGTTTTCCCAGTGCTTTTTTTGTAAAAAAAAAAAAAAGGTGCCGGAACTCACGTCTTGGGGTCACACTTTTACACTAAAAAAGATTTCCAATTCACCAACGTTTTTTGAAATAAAGAACTTGTTTCCCTTTTGCACGGAGCCAGTCACTACACACACACAAACATAATGGTCGCCGCCGGCAGTGAGCACACAGCGCGCAACCACACGACCGATCCCAAGCCGAGCAGCGCCCCAAGCCGAGCAGCACCCTCACAACCGACACACAAGCAGCCCGCAGGCACAATGTTAATGATTTTTGCCGCCGACCTGCTATGCCCGACAAGGCGATTCACAATCACTTGGAAAAATCCGTCAAAAAAGGGTGCCGGAACGCCGTTCTGGTGCGTTCCGTGACAAAAAATAGCCCTGGGTTTTCCCAGCTGCAATGCATGGCTGTGAAAGTTGGACCACGAGGAAGGCCGAGCGCCGGAGAACTGATGCCAAGGCCTCGCAGTCTCTCCTCGCAGGGCGGTATTTCCAGACCCCGGATCATCGGCGTGGCCCTCCTCTGGACCCTTTCCAGTATTTCTGCATCTCTCTTGAATCCTGGTGGCCAGGATATTCCAGGTGAGGCTGACTCGTGAGGAGCGGCGGGGAACGCCTCCTCCTCCTCGTGATCTGTGAGTAATACTTCCGTTAATGCCTCCCGAAACGGCGCTTGCCCTTTCGGTGGCCGCGTCGCGCTGCGGGCTCGTATGCAGCCGCCTGGCCACAGTGCCTCCGGGGCCCCGCGCTCTCGCGGCCCCGCCGAGCCCCGCGCTCCCCCGCTGCGTCGCCGGGCGCGCCTCCCGGCCGGATCCCCCCCCGCCCGCTTGGCCGCCCGCGCCGGCGGCGGCGCGATCCAACGGGCGGCCGCCCTCCCCGGGAGCGGGC